TTAACTGTAATGCTCGTATGGAATTATATAGAAAAACTCCAGATAACCAGATGCATTGATTTAAGATCATCTATGTGGTTGCAGGGAAATTATTGCCATTTTATTTTACTTACCACTTGGATTAGTTAGGTTAACCAGATGACTTCAGTTTGCTCTTTTGAACTGAAAACAGCTTGTCCTGTTACAGACCTGTACAGTTTCTTTCCCAGTGTAGTTCTTCCATCAGGTATTCCTCCTGTATGTATTGCTTCCACATTAAAATTAGAAGCTTAGAGAACTAACATCAGAAGCTAGCTCTCTCTACATGAAAGAAATACTTAAGGCTTTTAGAAAAATAGATGCATTAGAAATAGATGGTATCTGCTCATTCTGTGTTCACAGCCTTTGGGCCTGTCACTGGAAAGAAACACTGCGTGTGACTCTTAAAAGTCCATGAGGTCCATCTGTGGAGAAGACAGCCATTCTCCTGTTTATCATTCCTGTGTTTTAACCGCTGCAGGCTTATCAGCAGTAGTTCCCCAGTCTCCTTATCTGCCCAGTAGCATGACTGGGTGCTACACACCCCCAGTACTCCTTCACTGGGGATGGAGTCGTAAGTGTTCCCCAGCTTTCTTGCATTGTGTTATGAACTCAGCAAAGTGGAAGTGCAACTTTCTACTCCTTTTAGTGTGGTAAATATGAAAAAAAGCTCCTCATCAAAAAGATCCACACCAAATGCCATTCTCAGAGCAGCCTGATATCTGTATTTAATTATGGCAGTACATATAATCTCACTTCCCAGAGATTCTTAACCACTTTCATGTGGATAGGATTTTTCTGAGCACCTTCCTGATGCTGATTTGAATGGAATTAGCTTTGCAGATTTGAGCTGTTACCAAAAGGGTGTGTGGTAAAGTCTGGTGTGAGGAACAACAGAGTGAAGCATTTTAGATGTCATAACTTATTAATTGCTGGATTAAGAAGAAGGAAGGAAAGAGATTTTTAGCAGCCCTCCATGTTTTGGGCATCTGGAAGACAGAGTGTTTGACGTCATATGAGGCCCATGTTATGCTGTTGAGGAATTTGCAATTCAAGATCAAAAATACTGTAAGTGCCCTTTTACCATACAGCCGACAATTAGTTTGCTGCCAGTAAGAAAAACAGTCATTAAGTGGTGAGTGAAAGTAGTATCAGAAATGGACCCTGACAGAGTGGCAACACACAGTTAGGCCGAGGGACATTCTTCACACCTGCTGTGGTGCATAACAGTAGCTGGCTGAGTTAACCCGTGGCTCTACAAGCAGAGCATTGTGCTGTGACACAGCCTGGACAGCGATTGAATTACACACCGATTAGGTCTTGGGCTTCTCTCTGTCAGTGTGGACAATGAAGAATCAGAGAAGTGGACATGAGAGCTTTAGCAGGCCTTGTGCTCTCGGAGGGAGGAGGATTAGTGTGTAAATGGTAAATTGTGTTGGGGCCAGCAGTCGTAAAACTGAGCTCTGCCTTTCTGCTGCCTCAAAGGCACAGGCTTTGCAGAAAACCCCTTCTCCCCCCTCCTTTGACCGCCTGCTGTGATTTGGGGAGGGGTGGACATGTAGACTCTGCTCCTCCTTTTCTCTCCCAAAGAAGGAACAAGGTGCTGATGCATTCATCTGAACTTTGCCCATCACTGTCTCTTGCTATCTTCTGTTAGAAAGGGCATGGGATTAAACAAATCAGTCTTCTGCCATTTCCACACGGTTGCAGAAGTTTGTGATTTACCTCTCATACTGAGGTGCTGCTGGCTTGTTTACTGCCTGGTGATGGGTGTCCCTGAGAGCTGATTTAACCCAAAGTATATCCTTATTCAGGAGGTCCACAACAGGTCTGAAGAGTTGCAAGTGTTGCATTCTTTCCCTCCAGTCATCTGGTCCCACGTGACTGCAGAGCCTGTGCTGTGCTCTTAGCTCACCCTGCAAATGCTTCTTGCAATGGAAGTAAGTACAGAGCTGGCACAGAAGATTTCACATGTGATAACAATATTCTTTGGGTTTTTTTCATGCTTTGATTCCACTGGGACCAGTTGCTCTACATACAGGTGCTAAAGGTGGCAAATCCTCTTACATCCCCTTCCAATTTTCATTGGAAAGTTTATGCCATATCAACCACTTTGTTTTTTTGGAGAGGCTGAGCTTTTATTGTTTTAAGAAAAGCAGGTTAAACACAAACAGGAGAAACAACTGCATTACATGTTGTGGTTGGGAGTGCAGAGCATTCGTGTTCCATCTGATCTTGTGCTTCCACTCCCTGCACATACTGAATGCAACAGCTATTGGCACAAGTATAAGCACAGAGGTGGGCAGTAGTTTGCAGTGCCAGACATTTTCCTTACGGACTCATCCAGTTTTCTAGAACCAAAGATTTCCCTATGGTAAAGCTGACATCTCAAAGCATTGTAGGAGGTAGAAGGATGTGACTGCACTTGACCCAAACTCAGTCTGTGATTCTGTAGCTATCTTGAAGTTTGCCAGTGAATAATGAAATATATGATAGATGAAAATATGACTAATTAATCTGCAAGTACAAAAAAAAAAAAAAAAGTCTAAAAAATCCTATCTTTCTTTAAAAATCCTTACCTTTCAAATAATCTGAATGCATACTGGCCCTGTATCATCACAGTGAAGTTTTCAACAGGGCTGTTCTTACTAGTGGACTAAGAATACAGATCTGATTGCATATGTGGAAAACTATTTTCTTCTGGTATTCTTTGCTACTGTAATAAACCATACTATCTCTCCCTCTAGACTTTATCTCATCTGTTTATAGTGTTGGCATTTTTCTTTTTCAAGCTGGGAAGCAAGCAATATCAAAATACTGTAAGACTGTAAAAGGGGCTTTCTGGTTATGTCATTTAAAAATAATTCTTTGTGTTCTCTAGTTGGAACTGAGAAAAAAACATTCATATTTCATATTCCTAAAAGCAGTAGCAGATTTACTGTAATGCATCAGTTCAGAGTAATTTGTTCATATACTGCAAGTTCCAGAAAGCCCCTCAAATTCTTTCAGCTATCTAATAGGTGGAAAATTACCAGTACCTCCCAAAAGGTGCTAACAACTGTGTGTGATATGTAGAATTTGGCTTGTGTTGGTTGATTTTCCTTCTTTTTTTTTTTTTAAGTTCAATAAAAAGTCATACATGGGATGAATTCAGCTGTTGTTCAACACAGTCAGTATGGATTACTGATGGTTTGCTTTCAGAAACAGAGAAATAGAGAAAAACAGAATTATTCTAAGTAGCCACTGTTTTGTTCAACATGGAATATTTCAAAGGTATGTTTTAAAGAAAAACAATGAAAAATAGTCATTCAGTAGTGCTGATACAGGATTCACAGAGGTTAACACCACTGACATCATGCTGGAACTGGATAGCATTTTGTCAGTGGTTATTAATGCCCTGCTGCTGGGAGATAGACAGTGCCAGCTGCCAGTTGGTGTGATGCTTCTCTGCGGGTGCGCCTCAGCCTCTGCTCCAAAAGACTGTGAGCGTCTGAGGATGTGCTCCCTGCCTAGTCATCACTCCTCTGGCACAGGAGGAGAGGAGATGGTGCTACAGAGCCATGTTCAGATGACTTGTGTTACTCAGATGTTCAAGACTAAAGACCTTTGGAAGGAAATGAAGCTGGAAATTCAGACAAACGTCCATAAGAATTGTGTCATCAGACTTGGGGGAGAAGCCTATGTTATTTAAGAGTGCCTTAGAGTTTTGGACACCAATGGAAAGAAGTCAAAAGTGGTATGGAGTGAAGGAGAAAAGCCCTTGGGAGGAAGGAAAAGGAACTTCGTAATGGCAGAACGATGTTGAATGTGGAACAATTAATGATCTTTGACTATACCGTATTCATTATACATCCAGATTTGTAGGTTTAGCTCTCTCACTTGGGGCTAGCTATTACTTTGTGTAATACCTTTCAATTACATCCACCATAAGGGAATGAAACAGATATGTAAAGGTGCAATACATCAGTGTAGCATATCAAATTGAGAAAGGCATTTTTAGCAGTCTGTACCAAACACAGGTTTAAGCCAATGTTAGATTATTCCTTAAGTGTACTGTTATTATGACAAATCTGAAAGGAGCTAAAAGCATTTCAGTAGATGAAAAAAAGGAAGCTTTTATTTCTTTCGCACAGCCTGGAACCAAAGCAGGATGGTCAGCTAGACTTACACAGTCCTGCTTCGTACCATGTAAGCACACTCTGGTCAACATGAGTGGAATGCTCAAAGAAGCTGTGAGTCGTACAGAGGAACCAGCTCATCAGGCTGCTCCGCATCTGTAAATGCTGATGTAAGCTAGGACTAGGGAAAGATCTGGCTGCGTCCATCTAATAGGCACCAGCAGGGTGGGTTTTGTTTTTTTTTTTTGCTCCTGTTTGGTTTCTGTAGAACAGATTTGTCGTTGTAGATCTAAAATGCTGAATATGTATGTTCCTACTAAAGCCCTTGCAGTGCTAACTCAGATCATGAGATTTTGAAGGAATCATTTGCGCACCAGTGATTTTTCTTAAGATAATTACGTCGCTTAAATGGTAAATTAACATATGTCATCTGCATTATTCTCAGTTTATACCTCAAAAGAAGCAGGTATTTCATATGGCATTGCAGGGTCATGGAGGAGTTGACAGCACTGGAATTGAAAAAGGTATTTCAAAAAGACTGTGACTCTCTGAAGTGTGGACACTGAGAGGCAGCCCCTCTTGGTTTTGACTTTGATGCTGGCCCTGATTTGAGCACGAGGTTGGAGTAAATGACAGCTTCAATTATTTTGTACTCAGAAAGGAAACAATCTCCTAATTCTCGTTCACATCATTTTATAAAGCTCCTGTGAAATCCATCCAACCTAGGTTTTATGTTACAGTTTTCACTTGGATGTTTATGTCTTTATTTACCATCTGACGATCAACATTATGGAGAAGTTCCCAACTCTAGTTCTCATAGAAGAACATGTAAAGGAAAAACACGAATAATACACTGAAATTGTCCAGCTGTGAAAGGCCTGATGATCCAAGGACATTGTGATGACATCTGCAGTCTGATGTGCCACGCAGTCTATTGTATTCTCTTTGGTACTAAGATAAAAAACAAAACACATCATTGCCTACAGATCTTTTCTAAAAGAGAGATGAACATTCGAGTGCAAGAACCTCAGGTTCAGGAACACTATTCAATTTTTAATTTTGCATTTATTAGAATTAAATGGAAAAATCCGTGTAATCTGCATGTGCTTACCAATTATCTAGCTTGATACCCAAACAGTGACTTGTATGGACAACTTCTCTGGCACTTTTACAGAGTTCACTACACAAGTAGTCCATAGTCAGTTCCCTAATCCTCACTACATCATCCCACACCAAACCAGCAGGAGTACCAGCTGAAGAAGAGCAGTTATTCCTCTCCACACAGGATCTGAGAGATGGCATCTGAAGCATCGTGGTCTTCCTGGTGCAAGACAGGTATTGTTGTGCAGGAACAGGCCAGCACAGTGGAGAGGGGCTGGGGCACACACAACACCCAGAGCTGGGCCTGTTCAGCAGGAAGAGAGAAAGCAGAGCAGACATCTTGTCTACCACTGCCTACAGCCACATGCTGGGGGGTGAGGGGGTACATGGAGGTAAGGGTTGGGCTTGGACAGAGGGAGAGGGAACAAACCCACCCCAGTTGGAGCAAGGGAATTTCCAGCTGGATGCTTGAAAATAGAATTCCTCAGGGCAAGCTAGGCTTTGGAGCAAGAGCGCAGAGAGGAGGTGGAATCATTTTAATGGTAGTTAATTAACTCATTGTACTTTCCAATAGCCCAAACTTTTTGGATAATTATACAAATGTATAGTAAAGAAATGCCTAATTCCAAACATGACTTTTTTGAAGAACAGCTGAGAGAAAAAAACATTGGAATTCTGTATTTCTTCAAGAAATAAGCTCTTAATCATTGACCTCTTAGCATTTGATTACTCTTGTACTCTGCTGGTGAATAACATTTGCAAGATCTCAGTTGCAGACCAGGCTTTCCATTTGCGATTAGTATCTCTGGGGGCCAAACAAAAGCAGAACGAACCCACAGAAGCCCCTGCTCTCTCAGCACAGCTGGGGTAGCACACTTCATTGCCAAGCAGCCCCACCACCTGGTATGTTTCATTGGTCCTCAAGTTTTTTAGAAGTTATTCTCTTGTTCCCAGGAGAACATTCTGGGGCAATCATCAGGCTTGTATTTTATATCCTTACCTCTTAGATGTTTGGTTTATTGTGTGATAAGTAATACTAGCACCAGAAAAAAGAAAAGAAAAAAAAAAAAGGTAGCAGAAGTTAAAGAACTCCAGTAGCAAAACTAGCTGCAGGTGACTCCTTTGCTTCTTTCCTAGCTGTGTCACTGATGAGATTCACCTGAGCCCTCCCTCCCCTCCCCATCCAGCCCCTGAGCAGCCCCCTGATGCCATCCCCAGTCATGGCCTTTGGTATCTCAGTCAGCTTTGTGCATCTGAGGCAGTCACAGAAGGAAAAGGTGGAAGGCAGGCATGCGGTTGGTTCCTTGCTTGGAGCCCAGCACAGACCTCTGGGTACTGTGGTGTGCAGGGCTGAGCACTAGGCCCAGCACTGCCCCATCCAGCTACACAGCTGCAGGCTTGATGGCTGCAGGGGTAGGGCACAGCAGCTTCCTCAGCAGGACAGAGCAAGGCTGGCCCTCATGGAAGGGAGCTGGCTTAAAATCAGCATCTAAAAGGTATGTTCTCCTAAAGTAATAAATGGTGGGTATGGGGTTATTCTGGTGGGTACAAAGTCAGTATGGTCTCAGGGATTGCTGCTTCAAGTTGTTGCTGGGTGGGGGACTGCATGTTGAGCTGAACTGTCAGTGTGTTGCCCCTAGTGGAGGGGGCTCCTGTTTTGTGTTGGCTTGTTTTTTTTTTCCCCAGAGAGGATGGTGTTTGTGAGCCTTTTCGTACAACAAGAATAGTAAAGACAATAAGCATTCATTTGTGTGCTTGCTGTGCAGAGGCAGATAACTGACTCAATCTGGGAGAACAGTAGCATAAGCCTTGCCTAGATGAGCTGGTTTTGGAGTCCTGTACACTTTTCCCAAGGACAAATTTTTCTTAAATGGCTTAATTTAAATTAATTTCATGAGCTTTAGTATGAGAAAGGAAAACAAGTTTTCTGCCCCTCCTCACAAAGTGCATTCTCCTGTGGTTTTGTAGCAGGCATGTTAATTTGGCCTGGGCTCCTAATTGAACTGTGGTGTCAAGTTCCTCCTAATTGAAGGTGCAAGCTTCAGCTGAGAATAAGCTGCAAAACTGTTCACACTGTGAAGGAAATGTGGAAAATTCTTCTCCACACCTTCAGCTCTCAATGAAGAGTGCCTGCACAGGAGGGTCAGGTCCAAGGCTGGGAATGAGGCTGGCTGTCAGGTGGTGCCCCCAAGTTTTGCTGGGGGTTGCAGGAGAGTGAAGCAGGAGAGTGAACCAGCAGATTTCACCTTGAAAACAGCTTCAAGGAACATCTTTTTTTCATGTACTTATTATAAATAATGTGGGTGAGTACAATTAACAAATGTATGGTTAGAAGAGTGGCATGGATAAAATGGTATTTAACAGGTTTATAGTTAGAGAGATTATCATGGTGGAAAGAGACAATAAAAAAAAAATGCTCACCTGTGTCCTAGGCTTGCAGTAGAAAACTCCAGAGGGGGGGATCTCCAAAAAAAGATCCTTCCCTGTGTGATCAGCCCTTAAATGGGGTCCAGGAGAGGTGCAGCCAGGCTCCAGCCCTTCCAGTCACACAGGTGAATTGCCTTCACCTGTGTTCCCAGAGCTGACCCATCCTTGCCTCAGGTGATCATTCAGTGGCTCAGGCCATGACTCAACAGTTCCCATATACTCCACCCCTTCACAGTGTGAACCAATGATTGAGTTAGCTAGTGGGTGAGTATTCCCTAATACAGAGATCCAACACATGGCAATAATCATATAATTGCAGTCACGATGCAGGTTGATGCAATTTAAGACAAGTGATGATCAGTGTATGGTGGAGATTCATACTCTTTCATGGGTCAGTGCTCATTGGTATCACTGGAAACATGCAGTCATGAGGTGCAGGTCCATCCTGTGCTCCATCAGTCCCCTGTAGACCATCACTGGGTGTCACACATGATCTCACAGCAACACTGGAATGCTTTGATGATATTTTGTTCCTTCTGGTGATCCTAGAGGCTCAAAGACTCATGGAGAGTAATAGAGATGTTCAGGGGTACTAGGAGGCGAGGTCTGCTCTCCAGGGCAAGATACAGGCCATATTTCTATCCTGGGTCAACACTTGTGCTCATACTGGGTCATGCCTGTACCACACCCTTTGGCCAGATATCTGTGGCTGCATAACTATATCAGGCACCAAAGGGGGTGTCCTGATCTGCCATAGGGACGTGATGGGGTGGGGGGGTCCCTTTAGCAATGAAGACCAGAGTGTTGACCACAATATCAGTAGGCCGTGTACCAATTACCGGAGGGACTACCAAGCCTCCCACCTCCAATAGTCTCCCCCAAGGCACAAGTAGATCACACTACTTTGGTCCTACCTGCTGAAGGAAGAAAAAAAAGAAAACGGCATCAGGTATCCTTGCCAGAGGTTATATATTTTCTCTGAATACTAAGCCCCCTGGGGTAAGTAGTTCTTTTCCAGACAGGTGAATGGAACTGGATCATCAACTCTTTAACTCCCAGTGCACTACATATTATGATTCGGAATACCAATAACCAAAAATCGTAAAACCATGACACACATACAGTCCTGTGTTTAACTGCAATCCATATGCCTAACCACATATCTTTGCCCCAGATTGGTTGGGCATCTATTCCTGGATGGCCCACTGTGCAATCCAAAGAGTGAGCCCCAATAGACAGCCCAACTACCTGTACAGATATTCAGGATACCATCACCAGGTTCCTTGGTTATAACCATCCACATGGCTCACAGTTCTGCCCATTGGCTGCTCTGACCATCCCCCTCATCGAGCCAGATTGTCTTGGTGGAGTGATGGTATGCTATCACTCTCCACTTGCCTTGCTGGACCCATCTGTGTACCAGGAATCAGGAATAGGATATTTCTCTTCTTGAATGGGACTCTTCTTTGGTGGAGCAACCAATGTTTGTTTTGGTGCGTCACTGGGCCTAGGATCTTCTGAAGTTCTTCTTTTTGTGGTGATGAAGACAGACTATTCCTCTGGCTAGATAGGCGACATACTGTGCCACTGTTTGCACCTGGGCTACCCCTGTCTTAGAAAGGTGGGTCAGATCTTTTACCCACCGCTGAATCAGCAAGGTGGTCTTAAGTATGATTTCAGCTATTTGTGTTATCAGCTCTACTGCCTGTAATGCAGAGTAGGCAGCCAATAACTGCTTTTCAGTCATACTGTATCTTTCTTCTACTCCATGCCAGACCCGAGACCAGAATCCAGTGGGGGTCCAAACAGAACTCTGGCATTGCCACAGGCCCCAGCCAAAGCCATACTGAGTGACATGAACGTCTAATTCAGCTGGAAGGGTAGGATCAAATATACACAATGCCTGGGCTTAACTGCCAGTTTTGCTTGTCAGAAAGTGTCCTATTCCATTCTCCCCCAGTTCCATAGTTGCCCCTTTTTCATGAATCTATATAATGGCCTCATCAACTGTGCTAGATGAGGTATAAAGGAACACCAGTATCCCAGTATACCTAAAAACTCCTGCAGCTGCTTTGGTGTTGTAGGGACTGGAAATGCCCAAACCTTATCTATTACAGCACTGGATAGTGCTTTGGTCTTTCCTGACCAAACTACCCCAGACCTTGCACCTTCTGAGAATTTATAGCACATCCTCTTTCTTGCAATAGGCAGTTTATGAATCTGCTGCCTGTCCTACTGCCTCCAGTGAGTCGGATGTCAACAGGAGATCATCAATATAATGATACAAGTTCATATTATCAGGTTTCCTCCAATTAGTCAGGTCACACACCACTAGATTATGGCTGTATGTTGGCAAATGCACGTATGCCTCTGGCAGGACCTGAAAGGGCCACTGCCTGCCTCCCCATGTAAACGCAAACTGATCTTGCAACTCTTCAACAATTGCAATACTGAAGAACACATCTGCTAAGTTTAGGACACAATGGTAGGTTTGTATCTCCCTGTTCAATGTGCCCATTAGGGAGGCAATATAGGGTATGGCTGCATGAATAGACAGTGTGACCTTACTTAATTCTCTATAATCCACTGTCATTCTTCATGTTCCATCCAACTTTTGCACTGGCCACATGGGGGAATTACATGGGCTGCTTGCAGGTCTTAATGCCAACTTCTTCTAATTCCTGCACCGTCCTTGATATTTCATCTTGCCCACCCGGGTGTCTATACTGTCTCACATTAGTAATCCGGTGCTATTTCGGCAGGCGAATAGGCTAAGGCTTCAGATGGTCTCTCAATATTGCCTGTACTACCCAGACACTAATGTACCTTTGTCAAAGCCTGAACTCTCCCACAGTTGTCTGGAGAGCCAGACCCCATAAAATGTCTGTGCCCGAGATGTACTCTGGGACTGGGGCAATAGACTCTTTATACTCCCAGGGTGGGAGACACCCCAACCCTTAATTTGAACCACATTTGGGTGATCGGAATGGTCTGTCCCCCAGAACCACCAATCATCACTCCATCTCCATTAAATTTAGTCTGAGCCCATAAATTATCTATATTTCTGCATCTGTATCAATCAACACCATAACCCTCTGAATATTCCTCTGAGACTAAAAAATTGTCAACTCCACATAGGACCTCCAGGCCCATCTGGAGGCCCTAGGAGAACTAATATCACCTGTCACACCATAAATTGTCCTATGGCTAAGTCTCTCACCTCCAGTAGCCCGGGCATTATGGCCCAAGTCACCTGAGGAGGCTTCTTTCTTCAACTTGAAAATCTTTCAAGTTCCATGTTGTTGGTGGTAGTTTGTCAATAATTCTTACCCTAGGCTTTTTGGGGTGATTTTGAAGTCTTTCATTACCTTTCAACTGCTTCCATTGCTGAAGGAGGACACGATTGAGCTGGCAATCAATTTTCATACATTGAACCCCAGCCCAGATTAAGTCATTAAACATTTGTTTTCAAGATACCCGTATGGGTCCCAATTGAAGAGTTCATAGGGTGAGTCTCCTGGTTTTAGTTGCTGGAAGAACCTTTGCCTCTTCCAAAATTCAAATACTGCACCTAGTCCAAAAGTGCTCTGTCTCCTCTAGATCAGCTACCAGCTGGGCAACCATTGGACCATGGCCTCTGAGGCTATTAGGCAGTTTAATATGGAAACTAGAGTTCCATACGGGTAGGAAGGGGCATGTTGCAGGATCAGGTCTCTCATGTCTCCTGAGAATTTTATCACATCTAGGCTTTCAGATGTGTCTTCTTGTATCACCTTTCTTATACACAGTTCACAAATAGAGCTTTGAAGGTCCTCCAGGGAGAAAGAACCATAAACCTGTGTGTAATGGTATATCTGATTTATTAGGCCAAGCCATATGGCATGCTGCCATTAACCAATCTATTACCAAGTGAGTCTTGTTGGTATATTGGATGGCAGCATATAGCCTCTGTTTAAGGGCAGGGTCTATAGTAATGGATGCCAATTTAGAGACCCCTGGCCCATTGGCCATAACACATTCTGCCCCTCAATCCCATAATCTCAGAAGCCAAGCTGGCACGCTTTCTCTGGGCTTTTGTCAGAATCACTGCACCAGGTCCATTAATTCCATTGCTGTATAAGGATGGGCTGTCACATGTAAATGGATTTGGGCAGGCTGCCACTGATCAGGAGGCACCCCTACTGGTCTATCTTGTATTTTTGTTGTTGTTTTTTGAGTTATTACAGGCTGGATCTCAAAGGGATCCATTGCAAGTTGAACTTCGAGATCCAATTTAGAAGTCTTATCTTCTGGATCAACCAGGTCTATTGATTCAGGAACCTGGGTATCATCTATTGAAATGTTACAGATCTGCTTTACCTGGGAATTTAGGCTTGATTTTTTTTTCCTGTCAGCATACTGAGTTGTTCTAATTTGTCTATGCAGTCTCTTAATAATTGATTTTCATTTTCTAAAGTATTGGTTCTCATTTCATCCTGATTTAAAGCAATTAATAGTGGCTATGGCACAGTAGAAACAGTTAGTTGACGTTATTTTGGGATTAATATATCTTTGCTTAATCCATAAAAATAATCTGCCACGTGATATGAGGAAGGATTATTTCCTGTAAGCTGCAGGGGACCCCATTTTTCAATTACAGTTGCCATAGTCATAGTAAGGTGATCCCAGAAATCCTGAGATCTGTCTAGGGATGGTTTGTCTATCTAGGGGGATAACATTCTCCTCCCTAATCCATTTAAAGATATTCCAAAGGAAAGACTTTCTTTTTTTAGTTGTTTGTTTTGTCTTTTGACCTGCCTGGCTTACCAAATGTACAGTTAGAAGAGGGACATACATAAAACAGTATTTAACAGGCTTATAGTTAGAAAGATTATCATGGTGGAAAGAGACAATCGGAAATAAATGAAATGCTCACCTGTATCTTAGGCTTGCAGTAGAAAACTCCAAAGGAGGGATCTCCAAAAAGAGAACCATCCCTAGTGGTGGTCAGCCTTTAAATGGGATCTAGGAGAGGTGCAGCCAGGCTCCACCCCTTCCA